AAAGGGGATTGTATAGGGGATTATAGGGAATTATATAACATGGAAACTACTAACTTCTTAAAGGGGATTCTATAGGGGATTATATAGGGAAAATGGAAAAGAACATGGAAACTACTATTTAGGGTTTAGGGTTTGGGGTTTTAACTCCTTAAAAGGGGGTTATATAGGGGATTATATGGGGGATTACTATAGGGCTTATCAAGGAGGACACTAGGAGTTTGGACTATAACCACGATAATTCCCTCTATAATCCCAGCTTCCATGTCATTTCCATGTTCTTTTCCATTTGATTGTCCATTATTAAAGGGGATACTAGGAGTTTGGACCCTAAACACCAAACCCTAAACCCTAAACCTTAAACCCTAAGCCCTAAACCCTAAACCCTATGCTCATGTGATGTCTTGTCTCTTGAGTGCTGCTTCAGGCTGTAACGGCAGAGGCGGCTGTGGCGCAAGCCGCTACCAAGGCCTGGTATTTTGTCTCAAACGATTTCGCTAGCTTGTGGTAATTATGGCTGTTCTTACAGATAGATAGAGAGAGAGATATATTTTTGTTTTAATGTATACCCCTACAAAATACTTGCCCTAAGAGAAGATATATCCCAATATAACCCCGAACCCTAAACCCTAAACCTAGTGGCTAAGCACAGCTTGATTGTCAGGATTTGCTGGCACAGATGGAGTTGGCAGATGCAGAGGAGCACTTGAAGCTTGCCTGCTTTGGCCTGCGGTTTAGCTGTCGGGCTGTGCAGGGCCATGATGCCAGCGTGCCCGCAGCTCGAGATGGCATGGAGGCTCACATGAAAGCCTTGACTAAGTTGAAAGGGGAGCTTCCCCCCAAATTTTGGGAAACTTTAAACCCTAAACCCTATACGACCCCTATATATCCCACTATTTTTGGGAAACCTTAAACCCTAAAACCTATATAACCCTGATATATTCCCCTAGAAACCCTGGATTGCAGGCAGATTCTGGTGAGAACGAGGGTGCGGCTACGTTGGAAGAGGCCCTCAACCCGCTAGCTTGGTGCGGACTTGCTGGCCTCCTGGTCTCCACGGTTTATGGTTTAGAATTTAGGGTTTGGTGTGACAGGTGCTAGTTTCCCTAAATAAGCAAATAAGCGGACCCCAACCTAAACCCTAAATCCCAAACACTAAACCCTGAACCCTAAATCCTGAATGAGCTTACTTCCTTTTTTGGGATCCCCATAAGGGTACCCTGAATTTCGGGAAGCCACCAGGTAAGTGCTGAAGAGATGAAGGAGGCAGATGCTTTGTTGAAGGCTGGCCAGGGTTCAGGGTTTCGGGTTTAGGGTCTAGGGTTTAGGGTTTAGGGTTAGGGTTTAGGGTTTAAAGCTGTGAATTACCTTCTCCCTATAGGGGTATAGGGCCGAATAATGCAGAATCACATTGAAAATGACATGGAAAATTACATGGAAACTAGGGTTCTACAAGGGGAATACAGGAATTATGTCCCCCTAATATTGAGCCCTCCCCCCCTCCCTAGCATCAAATAATCCCCATATATTTAATTTACCACAATGTGAGTATGTAATATTAGGGGGTGGGGTGGAGTGGGGGCTTAATGCCTTCTTCAGCGGCCGCCGCGTCAGAACGTCAGCGTGGTCGACCAGGAGGGGGCTGAGAAGGATGGCGAAGGTGCGCGATCTGCTTATAGTGCTCCTTAAGTAGATAGAATGTAGGGTTTAGGGTTTACGGTTTAGGCTATAGGCCCCCTCAAGTAGATAGAGTATGGCTTTGGGTATATCACGATAAGAACCCCATATACCCCAAATTCTATCTACTTAAGGAGGACTATACGCGCAAATACTGGCATCCTCTCAGCAGAGCCTTGCAGATCCACAGTGGTAAAGTATAATCTAGTACACTCTAGTATGTTATAGTATGATATAGCATTATACAGCATTAGTATAATCTAGTATAGTATGATATAATATAGTATAGTCTAGCCTAATAATCTAGTACAATATAGCATAGTATAGTAAGATGTAGTATAGTCTAGTGTACTCTAGTAGAATAGTATAGAATAATATAGTATAATCCAGTATACTACGTATAATATAGTATTAAGTACTATATAGTATGAGATGGCATTTAAAGTATCATGTAGTACTAAGTTCTTCATACTGTTTTATGTCTTGTGGCGTTGCTTGCTTCGCTGTGGCGCCAGGAAAAGGCAAAGGCAAAGGCGAGGGTAAAGGCAAGGGCAAGCATGCGAAGGGAGACAAGGACTTGAACACCTAGGGTTTAGGGTTGAAAAAATGTGTCAACATTGATCTGTAAAACGTCTGCGGAAGAGGAGCGCGGGGCGACGGAATTGGGCAAAATCCTGGAGCGCCTGCCAGGACTGACATAAAGCACGGTCTAGGGTTTATGGTGTTTGGTGAGTGTAAATAGGATTCCTCGGAAATGGGTCTCCAGTCGGGGAGGCCTTATACCATGTTATATCTTCTTGTACTATATAGTTCTATACTTCTTTATATATTTCTATTATACTATACTATAATATGCGACACATAGATAGCTCAAGGCAAGTTACGCTCAGATGCTTCGGTCCCCAGTCTGTTCTCCAGCTGAGATGAGAAAGCCAGCGTTTACAAGGAGTTTCCATAAACTAGCTGTCCTTTTGGGAATTCCTTTCATACGGATTATGACATATTGTTTTTTTTTTTTCTCGGCGGGCTCCTTATTCATATCCTAAACCCCTAAACCCTAAACTCCTAACCCCTAAACTCCTAACCCCTAAACCCCTAAACCCTAAGCCCCTGAAACCCTACAGCCCTAAACCCCCAAACCCTAAGCCCTTAGAAGCCCCCCAGCCCGTGTCCATGGAGAGTTGGAGAGGAACAACTGACGATGTCGAAGACGAGTCTGCAGAGGCTGTGCAGCTTTGGGGTTTAACCCATATAGGGATGATGGAGAAGAAAGTGGAAACTAGGGTTTTAGGGTTTGGGGTACCCTTGATGAATAAATCCCCTCCTTTTGATAGGGATTATAATGATAGGGATCCTAATACTTAGGACCTTAAAAGGAGGGGGTTATATTAATCATGGGTCTACATTAGGATTCAGGGCTCGTGGTTTAAGCTGGGCTTTGGGGTTGAAACTGTTTAGGGTTTTCAGGATTTTGCGGCTTAGGGTTAGGGGCTTTAGGATGTGGGGCTTAGAGCTTACGATTTGCGGCTTACGATTTTTGGGAGTTGGGGTTTAGGGTTTTAGGGTTTGGGGTGTAGGGTTTCTTTCCATGTTTCCGGGTGAATACGCTTTCTGCGGCACCCTGTGTAACGTCAGAAGCCCTAAAACCTAAATCCTAAACCCTAAATAAATCCTAAACCCTAAATCCTAAACGCTAAAACCTGAACCTTATGAAGGAGCTTAAGCTGCTGTAATGTTGAGAGGTCTGGGCAGCCGCTTGCCCTAGACCTCATCGGGGGCTTGGACCACTTTAGTGTCTTGTTTTGGGGAACTCCTGTCAATGTCTCAAAGTTGGAGGACAACACGAACACTAACGCCTCAGGAGTAGTAGTACCTGACAAATGCCCTGAGATTGTCGTCGGGTTGACGTCCTTGTTGCATGGGGACAGGCCTCGCGCAATGCGTGGAACTTCTGATTTGATGGCACGAAACAGGAATCCTGATTTCACGCCAAATCCTCTGGATTGCACTGAAATCTGTGTGGCATGATCAGCAAGACATTCACTCAAGATAGCCGCCTTCCCCTGCCACCCACCCCCGAACCCCCTTTGCCACCGAAACTGACTTACCCTCAACTTGTTTGGAACCCTAACCCCAAACACTCGCGACCCTAAACCCCAAACCTTAAACCCCAAACCAATTTGACATACTAAAGAGGGTGCCTTTGAGTTCCACATCCCACATCATAGGGTAGACCGATCTCCAGAACATATAAGCCATGGTCTAACCTCCTAGTTTCCCCTTATTTACCCCTATAGTGGTCCCTTACATTTTCCCCTATAGTAGTCCCTTATAGAATCCCCTATATAACCTTCTGTAAGGAGTTTAGACGATAGCTCATATTACTGTAATTCAGCCCCAAGTGGTGCACAATGATTGAGTGGTCGGGCCGACTGTTGGACCAGGCAAAGAAGGAGAAGTCCTTCAAGACGCGCGTGTATGACTTGGATGACATTCGTGCCAGCAGCTGAGTGCTTTGAGACTGTCCTGCCAAAACCCTAAACCTGGTTTAGGGTCTAGGATGTAGGGCTCAGGCTCAATCAAAGAGAATGGGCGTCGCCCCATTGTCAGCACGGAACGATTTGCCGCAGGAGGACCGGTTGGGAGTAGGGTTTCCGTGCAAGGTTCTTATAGTGTATGAGAAGTTGTCTAAACTCCTTGAAGAGGGTAAGAGGGGGATTATATAGGGAAGCTAGGAGTTTAGACTATAGCCCATATGGCCATAGTCATTCTTCCTCCTTTGATCTCTGAACAGTGCGGTCTACCCGTGAGCAGATCTTGAGACAAGCAGGAGCGCGAGAAGGTTGGACGTTGGGGTGAGCAGCAACTTGACTGCATGATGCCTTCTGTGTTGGCATGAGGCAACGGTTTGGGATACTATACTACCTATGTAGAATAATGGCCTGTATGGCTGTTATTATGGGTTTAGGGCTATTATTTTACATACTTTTTGGGGTCTAGGTAGTTCTCATAATAACAATAGTGGGGTCTGCCGAAGAGAGACAGCATGAGCTTGATGCTACAAAGATGAGGTTCGTGTATGAATATCTGCGAAAGAAGCTTGAGAGCGAGGCTCGCGCAGGTCACAGTGTAGCTATAGGGGATACATAGGGGCTATATATAGGGGGTATATAGGGGATATATAGGAGGATATATTGGGGTTATAATGCCGATATATTGGTTATATATGGGGTTCTTTAGGGGATATATAGGGGTTATACAGGTGTGCCTGATCCAGTCAAGTCTACTTTCCTAAAGTCCAGAAGCAGATCAAAGCTCAGGGGAGTACCCTAAACCCTAAACCCCTAAAGCCTAAAATTCAGGAAGCTTGAAAACTTAAAGGAAGCTTCCACTTCTTGACAAAGTTGCAATGGCCAGAGGGAAATGGAAGCCTGAAGACTTAAACATGTTATCCCCTTACAACTTCTAACCCTGACATAATTGTAGTATCATGTGATACCCGCCCCCCCCCAAAGCCATCTTCAAATATTTTAGGCCCCTATACGAGCTATAGCCTAAATTCCTTAAATGGGGTTACATAGGGCTTATTAATTAAGGATGATACTAGCAGTTTAGGCCCTAAACCCTACACCCTATCGAGAAAAGGTCCGCCAAAAAAACAAAAAAACACAGAAACCGCTAAACCCTATACTAGGGGTCATTAAGGGTTCATATTAAGATTCGGGCTGCCAACCCGCCGTCCAGATACCTTCCCTGCTGTCAGGACAGCCAGAAGTGAAGGACTCAGCGCTTCTACACCTGAGCAGTATTGTATTTGAGGGTTTAGGGTTTAGGGATACTATGGTACCCAATAATGGAGAATCAAATGGAAAAGAAAATGGAAAATGAAATGGAAGCTGGGATTATGTAGGGGTTATGTTATATTGTAGGTCTAGAAGTTTTACCCAATATAGAGTAAGATTATATCCTCCTTTAGGGGTATAGTATTGTCGATAAGGAATATAATCTTACTTGGTTCAGCCACCAAAAAAACACTACTCACCAGGGAAAGGGTCCCCTTGGCAGTCTCTACGATACCAGTCCTAGTATTTTGGGGTCATAAGGTTTAGGGTTCAGGGTAGGGTACATAGGCAGGGTATAGGCAGGGTTTAGGGTTCAGGGTGCAGGGTACAGGGTATGGGGTTTAGGTTTTGGGGGTTCCTCTTTCTGGACACCTTCACCTGATGGTCTCCATCCTGTTGAAGATGCGCTGCTTCTGTTGCAAACCCTGAAACCTAAACCCTATACCGTAAACCCTGAAACCTAAACCCTATACCGTAAACACTGAACCCTAAACCCTATACCCTAAACCCTCAGCCCTAAACCCTAAACCCTAATTACACCCCTACCCCTAAGCCCTGCGAGCATCTCTGATCTGAGCTGAGGCGTGTGGTTTGGGTTAATGAGATCAAGGACACGGGATGGCTGGATATGAGGATTTACCCAAACTGGGGTTATCTTTTAGGGGATTCCCGTAATAAGGAATGCGTATTTGTTCGGTCTGTATCGGGATCCCCGTATTTTGGGAAACTACCATATTGATGGACAAAGTGCAAACAAGCAGCCTGGAAGCCGTTATTGTCAGGAGACAGGCTTCCAGTACGATATTCGCATTGAGGCCCGCCACCTACTGGTGCTTAAGGGGAGCGGGGGAGTGAATGTAGGTACCATTATAGAGGTATGTATTAGCTTGGGCCCCCACCCAGTAATAGTGACCACAAGAGGTAATGGTAATTATATTCGTGTCCTTATATATTCCTAGTATACCACTATTAGTGGGTGGGGGCCCCACCCAAGGTATATATGCGGATTCTATAGGGATTCTTTTAGGGGCCCCCTCCCCCACCCTCCCTTCAGTAAGAGCGCAGATTCTGTATTTCTCGTACATCTAGTAGCTGCAAAATGTCCTGGAGGACACAACAAACGGAGATGTGGAGGCCTATGTTGAGGTCAAGACGTCTCGTGCCAAGGACTTCATACATCCTGCGCGGGTCGGCTTGTGATTGACCACGACATTTGAGAACTTGTGCTACTTTCTTGTAGTTTCCCAAAACAGGGGACCCTGATATAGACAGTTTCATGTATATATGCATATATATATGTATATTAGGAAACCCCAACTTGTAAGAGATGCAGCTGTTCCGTATCAGCGGTGTGAGCCTGCAGGATAAGCAGCTCTTCGAGAATCTTGACGGCAGATGACCCTGCAATCCCAAATCCTGGAGAGTAGTAACTCTAATGTTTGTCTTTTTTTTTTTTTTAATATTACTACTCTTATTGACTATTATCACTACTACTACTACTACTACTACTCCTACTATACCAATCTTATTCCCTTATTAGTGTAAATTACAAGTCTTATACAATACTATTATTGCTCTTAGTACTACTCATCTTCTTTTTACTACTGAGTGTTATTCTACAAATTTCATTCTCCTATCATTCCTACAGCTCTGATACAAGTGTAGCCTAGTAAGCCGCAACCCTTCTTCTGTACATGTCAGCTATCGTCCAAACTGCTACTATCCCCCTAAAAAAGCGCCTAGAACACTACCATATATAGCCCACTATACAACCTCCTTTTAGGAGTTTAGACCCTGAACCCTAAACCCTGAACCCTATATAATGCCTGTTAAGGAGTTTAGACCCTAAACCCTAACCCTAACCCTAAACCCCTCAACCCTAAGCTCATGTAGGCCAAGGGAAGATGCTTTTATAACCCCAATATAACCTTGTAATCCCTACCTATTAATCCCTATAATTCCTGTAGTTTCCATTTTCTTTTCCATTATTCCATTATAACCCCAATATAACCCTATAATCCCTACCTATTAATCCCTATAATTCCTGTAGCTTCCATTTTCTTTTCCATTATTCCATTATAACCCCAATATAACCCTATAATCCCTACCTATTAATCCCTATAATTCCTGTAGTTTCCATTTTCTTTTCCATTATTCCATAATAACCTCAATATAACCCTATAATCCCTACCTATTAATCCCTATAATTCCTGTAGCTTCCATTTTCTTTTCCATTATTCCATTATAACACCAATATAACCCTATAATCCCTATACCTATTAATCCCTATAATGCCTGTAGTTTCCATTTTCTTTTCCATTATTCCACTATAACTCCAATATAACCCTAAACCCTAAACCCTAAACCCAATAATAGTCTATCTATGCGCGTGAGTGGCAAGTGGCATTTCCCTGCGGCCCGAGGATGAGCTACCGGGAGTGGACTTTTGCACAGAAGGAGCGGGCCCGTAAATCCTAAACCCTAGGGGTTTAGGGTGTAAGGTTTTAAGGGTTTAGGATTTAGGGTGTAGGGTTTAGGATTTAGAGTTTAGGGTATAAAGTTTAGGCACAGGCAGGCAGATGCTTGATTTGATAGAAGTCTTTGACAAGTGTTAGCAGCTGTTTTGACAGCTTTTGCTTCACAAGCCAAGCTCGAGATCCACGTCATGAACTTCTCAAACTTCCTGGTGGCTAGTAGGGAATAAGGGAATATACCTGCTATTTGGAGAATCAAATGGAGAAGAAACTGGAAAATGAAAAGGTCACAGGTTTCATGGTTCAATATGGGGCTACTTACTGGTTGTTAGCGAGTAATGGGGGAATATAACCCCTACATAAGCCCTACAGAATATATTCCGATGCTCCCTACTACACCCAGAGTAAGTTAAAGATGTTGCAGAAATTTCTGCGAAGGTTCTTGTGACCTCACACGGCCTCACGCCAAAATGGTGATTTGTCACGAAGATGCTCTCCCAATGGCCTTCCTTCGGGTTTTGGCATGATGAGAGTGTAGCCCCCTAAACCCTCAACCTTAACCTTAAACCCCAAATCCTATTCAAGCCCTAAAGCCTGAACCCTACTTAAGCCTTGTTTAGACCCAAAATCCATCGCATTGACTTCCAGGAGGGCAGCAAGTTTGTCATCTTTCGGGTCTCCAATGCTGGCAAGGCACGACTGCGTCTTTCTGAAGCTAATTAGGGGTCTCTTTAGGGTCTCTTTCTGGGGCGGGCCCAGAATCAGGATTATAGTACCCTAAACCCCAAACCGCAAACTGATAAACCCTAAACTGTATATTGGGGTCTTTATTGGAGTCCCCTATGTATGGAGGCTGAAGGTTTCCAATAATTGGTGGCCGTCTTCTTCGGCAACCCAACACTCTCAAGCAGTAAGCTGTGATGGATGGATCTATAGTCCCCCTTAAGTAGATAGAATATGGGACATATGCGGATCTTCCTATAATATACCCAAAGCCATATTCTATCTACTTAATGGGGGGTTCTGATTATAAAACCCCCCGCCCCCCCCCTCCCCCCCAAACAAGT